CAGCCACAGAGGCTATGTATGTTACCTGCGTCTGATCCTCCACAATTGTGGTTCTGGAGTCAGGAAAGTGGGTTGCTAGTTGTAACTATGTGCTTTCTTGAAGGTTGGCAGTGAAGCTGCCATCCTCCTTGCACAGAATACCAATTTTCCGAAATGGGTTTTTATTAAGAGCTTCCTGAAGTCTTGCCGCTTTCGTATAGTTTTCTATTTCGTTGCAGTATGTCCTCCAGGGCTGGAACTCTGTAACGGATAGAGATTGTTACCTTTATCGCTATGACGCGTGCTGTCTTTTTCTCTCCTGTCCAATTCAATAGAGAGGAGGAGACGTCAATAGAGATAGAGAAAATATCTCGACTTCGAATAAAGAATGAAGGCTTTCACGGCCGGTCAAATCTAGCAAAAAACTTTTTTCCGGGCTATAATGCCGTGGTCCATTAGTATTTCTACCTAACGTTTCGTCTACTGCTGCGGTAGACATCTTCAGAGGCGGTGTGGTAGAGGACGAAGTGTTCTCTTCCGTGTTTCTCCGATGACTGAATTCGACGTTGAGGGAACTGCGTTATTTATATCCAGGGTTGTGGGCGTGGCTTGGATTACGGTATTTTCCTTGTCTCGTTCTCGGAAAGGAAGGGTCTTTGTTTTTCGGAGAACTGGCAACCAGCTTTTATTGAGGTTCATGCCCTCTTCTTTTCTGTTGAAGTTGTTGTGGTGTTTCTGTATCTCTATGGCTTCTCTGTGGAGCCTGGTGTAGAAATGTTTGGTTCTATCCAATGTTTGAGTCTGGTCGAAACGAATGACATGGTTTGTTTGTGTAAGCACGTGTTCGGCGATTGCTGATCTATCTATTTGTCCTTGCTGACAGTTTCTTTTGTGGTCTTTAACCCTGGTGTTGATAGAGCGTTTGGTTGTTCCTACATAGACAGATCCACAAGAGCAGGGAATTCTATAGACGCCAGCCGGGGAGCATTTTTCCGTTTCCTATTTGGTTACCGCAACATGGAGCGCTAATCCTTCAGGACTTGTAAAATTATATCTGGCATCGCGTTTCCTATTAGGCCAGCGCACATTGTTTACCGCTACATGGAGCGCTAATCATATAGGACTTGTTAAAATTGTATCTGACGTCGCGTTTCCTATTAGACCAGCGCACACCCTCTGCGATCGTTTGCACACATCCATTGCAATGCATTATCGTTGTCATTTTTTGAGGTTAATTGGTGGTTACAGGTGGTGCAATAATTTTGTAATATTTCTCGTTGTGTCTCGTTTTATTATCTCTGTTGATTTTACACTCAGAAATCCTCTAGCCAAAAATCCTTTACTAATGGATTTTCGGCTATCAGTAGAAATTTCAACTGTAATTGCGAAACAATCCTATTCTAGTAGTAGAACGCACTTTACTAAGTTAGCAAAAAGTACCTTGGTTTTAACAGTAACCTTCTTCACTGAAGTATATTTTCTACCGCGGCAAAGTGCTTGCCTGCAAGTATATGAAAAAGTTTTTCATAAGTTTTTTCTTATTATTGCTGGAAAGACTTTCACTGCTACAAAAAAAAATTAAACTCTGCAAGTTGTTTTATTAATTATTATTAAAAACCAACCCAATGTCAAAAGTCATGTAATAGCATGGTTGGCAATATGAGCATAGTTATTTAATTTACGTGCGCTGGTCTAATAGGGAACGCGACGTCGGATATAATTTAACAAGTCCTAGTCCTATAGCGCAACATATAACGGTACACAATGTGCGCTGGCCTAATAGGAAACGCGATGCCAGATATAATTTTACAAGTCCTAAAGGATTAGCGCTCCATGTAGCGGTAACCAAATAGGAAACGGAAAAATGCAGCCGGGGAGGAAGTACCACGACTTATTCGACGCTTGGAAAACTTACGCAAGAAAAAGGCCCATTCTCTAGGCTCCCTTGCTTTTCTCCAAAGATGTAGAGACTCGAAAGTCGTTCCGAAATTCCTGAAGATTCGAAGAATTTTTAATTCCTTCCAATCTAACAGAATTTTTGAACGGGCGGAACGAGCCTTGCTTCGGGAACGGATCCACCAAACCAGGAAAGACCTAGCAGCTATGGACAAGGATCTTCTATCGATAAACCAAAGGTTATCCAACAGCATGCACTGGAGTGACTGGGACAAAGTTGACCGGATGACGTATGACGTGATGGAAGCCACACTAGCGAAAACAACCAAGAAACTGGTAAACAAGTTTAACTCCTTGAAGCCAGTAAACACTACGAAACCCACAGGCAATGATCGCACAGTTGTCAACCTGACCCAACGCGTTCTGACTGATTCGGAAACCAGTGTTCTGAGAAAAGGAGGCAATTTTGCGATAACACCGAAAGACCTGCCATACGAAGACATCATAGCAAATGTGGAAGCCAGCATACGCACATTACCTCAAACCACTGCGGAGGAAATACGCAATGAAACCTCTAGGATTCTACGACTTGCGAAACCTCCAAAGTGCAACCTGACATACGAGGAAAGGAAAGCTATTCGCAGCCTGAATACAGACGAGAACATACTAGTCCTGCCTGCGGATAAAGGAAACGCAACGGTAATCATGAACGTGACTGACTATGAATCGAAAATCTCCGAACTTCTAGACCCCTCCACCTACAGAAAGCTGAAACGTAATCCCACTGCTTCTATATTGCGAAAAACCAATCAACTCATCCGAGCACTACCGTTGGAGCCGGAAAACATAAGGAAACTCATCAAATCTGAGGCCTTACCACCTAGAATATATGGGCTTCCTAAGATTCACAAAACAGGCAACCCACTCAGGCCCATTGTAAGTGCAATAGATTCGCCCACATACAGCATAGCCAAATACCTCACCACCCTCCTTCAACCACGGATTGGCCAATCCAGCTCTTATGTCAAGGACTCAACTCATTTCATCAAAAAGATCAGTGATATCACTCTATTACCAAACGACATTCTGGTTAGTTTTGATGTCGTCTCATTGTTTACTAAGGTACCAGTAAATCAGGCTTTAGAGTATCTGAAAGATGTTTTTCCGGAAGAAATCAACAACTTATTTCACCACTGTCTGACGACTACGTACTTTCAATGGCAAAATGAATTATTTGAGCAGACAGATGGAGTCGCAATGGGAAGTCCACTCAGCCCGGTTATCGCCAACTTTTACATGGAACACTTCGAACAAATGGCACTACGAACGGCTACAAAGAAACCTACTTGTTGGTTTCGCTATGTAGATGACACATTTGTTGTTTGGAACCATGGAGAGGCAGAGCTCGAAAACTTCCTCAATCATCTAAACTCGATAGAACCCAGGATACAGTTTACGATGGAAGTTGAGAAGGATAACAAAATTGCATTCCTCGACGTCCTCTTAGAAAGATTACCCTCAGGTAAACTGGGACACAGGGTGTACAGGAAGCCGACACATACGGACAGATACCTCAACAAGGAGTCTAATCACCATCCTAGGCAAAAGAGAGGAGTCATTAAAACTCTATCTGACAAAGCAATCCGGATTTGTGAACCCAGATACCTTCAGGACGAGATGCAACACCTAAAATCGGCACTTGAAGGAAATGGGTACTCCAACCAGGAGATAAATAGAGCCATAAGACCGAAGCAGCAGCGCACAACTAACAAGGAACCAGCACAGGTGGCAGGGAGAGCCTTTCTTCCTATATCAAAAATGTCACAGATCGCATAGGACGAACGCTAGAAAGACACAACGTTAAGCCTATCTACAAGCCCACAAGAACAATTCAGCAAAGTCTAAGATCGGCCAAGGATCCTAGGGCACCTCTTGAATCGGCTGGCGTCTATAGAATTCCCTGCTCTTGTGGATCTGTCTATGTAGGAACAACCAAACGCTCTATCAACACCAGGGTTAAAGAGCACAAAAGAAACTGTCAGCAAGGACAAATAGATAGATCAGCAATCGCCGAACACGTGCTTACACAAACAAACCATGTCATTCGTTTCGACCAGACTCAAACATTGGATAGAACCAAAAATTTCTACACCAGGCTCCACAGAGAAGCCATAGAGATACAGAAACACCACAACAACTTCAACAGAAAAGAAGAGGGCATGAACCTCAATAAAAGCTGGTTGCCAGTTCTCCGAAAAACAAAGACCCTTCCTTTCCGAGAACGAGACAAGGAAAATACCGTAATCCAAGTCACGCCCACAACCCTGGATATAAATAACGCAGTTCCCTCAACGTCGAATTCAGTCATCGGAGAAACACGGAAGAGAACACTTCGTCCTCTACCACACCGCCTCTGAAGATGTCTACCGCAGCAGTAGACGAAACGTTAGGTAGAAATACTAATGGACCACGGCATTATAGCCCGGAAAAAACTTTTTTGCTATCACAACTTCGTTACATAGTTCCAGCCCAGGCATCTTTTTGTTTTTGTCGTACGACTTTTTTATACTGGTTGAGTTGGTACCTATAAAGGTTCCAGTCTTCAGGTAGTTTGGTGTTTTTAGCTTTATTGAAAGCTTTTCTTGTCGTCGGCAGGTGTTCCAGCTCCTGACACCACCAAGCAGAGGTGTTACCAGATTTTTGGGGGCCTCAGTGGGGTCGATATCTTATAGGATTTCATGATGGCAACTTGGATGGTATTGGCATACCGCTCCAATTCTTGGTCATCATTGGGTATTTTAACTGCAACTTCTCGTAGAGCCCTTCCCAGACCTTGCAATAGCTAGATATGTGTGTGTCCAGGTATCCTTGACTTTAGTGAAAAATGCCGAGGTATAGTTTTCAATATTTTCTATCTTGATTCTTCCAAACTGTTCGCTGCTTTTTTGATCTTGCACGAAAGAGACTGACAAAATATCATATGTATTGATGCATAGTTTATAATGAGTAGATAAAACATGCTATTTGACTCGCACATAATTGCTAATAATAGGGCACTTGCCTAAACTCCATCTATATACATTAAAATTTCATAGTCAAATAATCATTGATATTTTTTTTTTTAGCTGAGATTGGCTTATCAATTGCAATCGGACGAAATAAGAAAACTGAAAAAACAACTTGCCAACAGCGAGCAACGAGTAAAAGAGTTGGAGGAACAAATGAGAAGAGTAATTATTGCAAAATAAAAGGATTGCTAAAATAAAGTAGCAACATATTGTATTACACTATAGTTTAGCTATAATGTGATTTAGCTATAATAGTTTTTACAAAGTAACTATGTATTTTTCACATATTACATTTGAATTATGCTTATTGTGCATCGATATTGTGTGCAATTTAAAGGTAATAATTAATTTATGATTGCTCAGTAAAAATTTTTACTATTATATTATGACAAATCCAGTTTTGTTTTTTATTAATTTAATTATTATAATTTGTTATTTGTATTTTTTCAATCTACATTAAGCTGTTGTGTTACCAAAAAAATCTCTGCGATTTATTTTTAGGTGCTTTAATTTGATAATTTTTGTCCATTTCAAAGTCAAGATCTGCTATGTTTTCTAATAAAAGTGTGAAGTAAGCAGTTTTACTAAAACCACTGATTTGAGTACTTTTCTGTCAATATTTTACTTTCATTTGGATATACATACTATGTGCTGTGTATCTACCTGAATTTTGTTTCTCTGTTTTTCAACACAGAAATTTCTCTCAATCAATAGTTTAAGATTCCATGTCATTGCTCTGCCATGGGAGTAATTTTAGTAAAACTTCTTGCAGGAGGCAAAAGTTGACTTTTTAAAAAAATAATTGTGGTTTATACAATCTTCAAAAATATTGGTAAATGATAATAATTAGCAAAATATTTTCTCGGATATATTTGTTTTTCAATTTTCTAAACTAGTCAAAATGATTATTGATTTTGATCAGAGGCCCTATTGACTTTTTTTATGTAATTTTTGATATTGTTATTTACTTATACTTTTTTATATACAGTTACTACAAAACAGTCATTGTTTTGAAAAGACATTATTTTACAAAGTAACACAGATAAATCATGAACTTGATGGAATTCAGTAGTTGCAATAATAATTAGGTATTTTATTCACATGTCATTTATTATTTGAAATATGTATGTATTCCGAAAACTTTATGATTATTTTGTAGTAACTTAGTACTTAGTCTTAGTAGTACCTTACCTACTGGATATTTTCATTCCGTTTTTGTTTCAAAATCATTCCAATTGGTCTCCAAATTAGGACGCACAAAATTGTATCTTTTTCTTGGCTGAAAAAATCTTAATCTTTATCTCGATTGCTAATTTTCTTTTAATGTTTAACTTTTAGGTTAAAAAGACAGTATTATTGTAGTGAGTAATATTTTTCTACACTTATAAAAATTCTAAACAAGCTTTGAAGCTTTAATAGCTTTTTGCCAAAATTATTGTGAACATATTTTTGTAGTTTATGGAACGAATGAAAATATATTGATTATCAAGCAGAGATTTTTGTATAAATTGGACATCTTAGAGTAAGACTTAAATACCTTACTTAGAAATTAGTGAGCAAAACTCCTATCATAGCGTGGTTTACATGGGATAGTAAATTGCGATAGAACATCCCAAATTAACTTGCGCCAGCATTTACATTTACGCAAATTTTGATTATACTCGTGTAAGTCGTGTATACATGGTATAGTAGCATTTAATATTTTGTACAGAAAATTAGTGCGAAAAAAATGTCTGAGCTGCAGTTGCTTTTATTATTGCAATTTTACGAAAAGAGCGAAGAAAAGAACCTAAAAAAAGAATATGGATTTATTTATTACGGGATAACCCCATTAAGAAAATGTATTACAATTGAGAAAGGTAGGTGAAACCACAAAAATCCTGTACTATGCTACTGGAAAATTAACTAAATATGTATAGTCTGGTAAGTGGTAAGTTGATAGAGACGAAAGGGGGAAGAAAAGTGAGGCGTAACCTAAGAATATTTACTGACACCAATGAACTATAGCAAAAAACTGGAATGCGCACACATTGCCATATCTGCCAAAAAAATGAGGCCATGAAAGACAGATGCCACAAAGGGGAATGTTGTTTTTTTCTGTTGCTCGCTGACATAATATGACGTTTTGGAAAGTTTTGTCATATTTACCTTCACAGGTTTCATCAACTGGAATACGTAATGAAAGCAATTTCTGCCATTTAACATAATGAGTGCGACAAAAACAGGTATCCCCTCCGCAGCAGCGGTACTAGGCTCCACGTTCGTCAATATGTGTGAGCATTCCAGTTTTTGGTTATAGTTCATTGACTGACACTGCTTGATGACAGCCATGTTTTTGGGTTCAGTGGCACCAAAAACATCAAGGAAATGAACCAATAAAATTATTAGAACTTTTTTTTAAGTTTCGCCAATAACCACGCCACTGTACTGTCGTTCGGGCTCTTACCACAGCATCTCTAACCTTAGGCTCTAACCAGTAGAATCATGCCTCTGAATAATCACGCCTCTCCACATCCATCATATCGCAATGTTGCCGGATTTTTTTCTATTTCAAAATACATACTACACATGCCCATATAGCAAAAAAAAAAAATATATCACTAACTTGTTTATTACTGTTTCCGTCAAGTTTGGCAAAGCAGCAAATTCTATTGCAGTTCGCCGTTTGGCTAGCCAGACAACAATAATAAAAATGCTGACAAAAAAAAAGTCGCGTGCAGCACAATACACGTGATAGAAGTGAATACATATTTATCGATTCGTTGAGAGTGAGTGAGTGAGTGAGTGAGTGAGAGTGAGTGAGTGAGTGAGTGAGTGAGTGAGTGAGTGACTGAAGAGTGAAGAATCAGTCTGCTTTCTGTCAGAATCAGTCTGCTTTCTGTCTTTCATGTTTTGGAGAATGTCAAGTTGATAAGCTGCCAAGTTGGATAATGTTGACTTGTTCTTTGAAAAGCCATGCTGCTCTTGACAAATAAGGCTCTTGCATTGCCAAGTAATCTGCTTAGTAACTAAACAATCAAAAATCTTTGGTATAGCAGATTGTATACATATGCTGCGATAATTTGCAACATTATCTTTTTCCCCAAGTTTGAAAATGGGAACTATATCACTTTCTTTCCATTTAGTTGGGAAGACAAATGATCTCAAGGATTTATTGAAAAGAAGATGCAAAGGAGACACTAGAGTACAAAAATACGTCAGGGCCAGAAGATAATTTATTCGGAACATTTGAGATTTCTTCAAAGATGTCAATCATTGGGATAGATGTACAATTTATATTATTACTTAGGTTTATGTTGTCAGTTACATCATTAGAAAAACCAGCCGGATCATGATTAACAGTGTAAACTGTCTGAAAAAAATCTTTGAAGAAATTTGCAATTTCTTGACCACAGTAGCCTCACGATTGGAATAAAGTAATGAACTAGTTAAATTATTACTAGATCGTTTGTCATTTGTATTTCCAGAAGAATTTGGGATCTTATTCAAACAATTATCTGAGAGTGCCTTGCACTCAGAACGTAACTGAGCAAATCTTTCATAACTATTATTGGAGCGCTCTTTTTTGTAAAGTGAATGTGCAAGTCTTTTCTCTAATGTCAACTTACGTGAGTCGGCAGAAAAGCATTTCGGAAACGTGGATGTTCGATACCTTTTCAGAAGGATATAGTAGGCAATGCCAGTCAATAGAATTTCATAAAATAAATTGGTTGCCTCATTGACCGTAATATTTCCTAGATATTCAACCCAATTGATTGATGCTAAATAGTTATTTAATTCTAAGTAGTTACCATCCCTAAAATCATAGTAAAATTCATGGTAAACTAAATTGTTAGTTTTTGATTTTGTAGAAAGCATTATAGAAAATTCATAGTTTACCTATATGATGATAACTATAATTGAGAAGAGGATCGCTAGCCCTACTAACATCACAGTCCTTGACATTAAAAAAAATTAGGTCCAAAAAAACATTTCTTTCATTAGGTATGGCATTGTGTTGAAATAATTTGTGATATCCAAAAGACAAAGCTACCTCCAAAGCTGGATCATCACCTGGACACTGTACTACTGGCCCATACTCATCGTTTAGACCACACTGCATATTTATTAGCACATTTTAATTGATTTGAGTCACCAAACTACAAATCTACGAAATTTTGCTGCCGTTGTGTTGTTCTTTTTTTAGGTTGGCCTCCCTGTAAGTAAACAAAGTCGAGAAGTCATCTGAGCCTAATCAATATCACTTCTGGTGGAAATTAGAAGGATTTTTGAGAGGCACATATTCATTTTGAAATTTTAGTATGGATGAACTCCTAACTTTCCCCTTTTTCTCCTGAAAGTTTCATACTTTTTCCTTCAGTGGTTTTCCAGAAAAAAAATTTAAATGCAAGAGGGTGCATTTCTGCTTGATTTGGATTTTGCAAGTTGATTTCTATTAATTTCCAATTTTTTTATTTTTCACTGGATGTTTGAAATTTAAGTATAATGAGCTCCTAACTTTTCTCTTTTCCCCCAAGAAAGTCCAGAATTTTCTAAGCCTAATCAAGTAACATAGACTCTCAATTATTTCTGGCGAAAATCTTAATTGAGGTGTGTAAGTCCCAAAACAAAAAAACGCAAGGTAACAGTATCTATATCATTTTCTACATATATTAAAGAAAGAAAGAAAGAAAGAAAGAAAAAAAGAAAGAAAGAAAGAAAGAAAGAAAGAGAAAAAGAAAGAAAGAAAGAAATTTATTGTCAAGAAATAAATTCCTATAACAAAGCATACTAAATCTTATGCCGTGTTTATGTTGGAGCTGTGATAAACGATAAAAGCAACGATACTAATGATACTTTACACTAGTATCGTTGCTTTTATCGTGTATCACAGCTCCAACATAAACACGACCTTAGACTTATGAGCTAAGAGTACAATATAGTATAAATAATACTCTGAAGATAAAGTTTTGTAAAGTTATTATTTAATTGATGTGGCACAATCACAAAACACTATCAAAAAACCCCATTATAAAACTCCTCCAAATCGTAATACGGTTTGGTGAGCAAAAACTTCTTTAGCTCCTTCTTAAATTTTGAAGCAGACTGGATATTCTTAATTGACTCAGGCAAATGATTGAAGATAAGGGATGGTTTAGTCAGTGTGCTTGAAGGTATGGGAAGCGGAATATTGTTTAAGCCACGGGTTATATAACCACTCTCAGTAACTGTGAACTCATGACGATATTTGTGAACTAAAATAGAGGTATCCAAGACAAAAAGGCAGGTCAAAGTTAGTATACCCTCAGAAACGAATAATGGTCTAGACGAATCTAGCACCCGCACCATAAACAATCCTTAGAGCTTTCTTTTGCAGAATCAAAAGAACATTGAATAGGGTTTTTGATGTAAAACCCCAAAACGGCAAACCATATCGGAGGCGCGACTCAACAAGCGCAAAATACGTACAACACCCTTTCCTAGTTCCCGTTTAGCCAACTTCAATGCAAATTGCAAAACAACCTGATGACAATTGCACAAATCTAGAATGTGCCCCTCAAAACGAAGCCGCGTGTCAATAAGGAAGCCCAAAAACCGGCACTCATCCCTATCCCGGATGTGACTATTATCATCAAGCCGCAGACCGTCAACACTACACTTAAACCCCATAACACTAGTCTTACCCGCATTAAAAACCAATTTATTAGAGGTACACCACTCTCCAATAGTAGTCAGCTCAGATGCCATTGGGGCCCCTAGCACTTCCGCATCAGGGTGACGCCAAAAAATAGTTGTATCATGGCAAACTAAATAATTTTTCCCTGAATTCACAGAAAATTCAGATCATTGATATTTAATAGGAACAGTAAGGGGCCTAAAACAGACCCTCGGGGCACTCCACAGTTGATAGTAGAGAATCGGAGTAGCTACCAGAAAGCAAGACACGTTGACGTCGACCCGAAAGATAAGACCTCTGAACCAAGCCAAAGCAGTCCCCCTGAAACCACAACACTCAAGTTTAGAAAGCAACAGCTCATAATCAACACAATCAAAGGCTTTGGACAGATCGCAGAATACCGCTGCAGTTGATTCTCTGTCATTTAAGCACCAATAAACATTCTCCAGAAACTTGAAAATGGCATCAAGCTTCCTCCATGGAAGCTTGGAAGCCATATTGCTTGACACAAGGATATTATTTGCTGCTATAAATGATGTGATTCTCTTTTTAACGAGCTTTTCAATCACCTTAGACAGTGTTGACAAAATAGAAATTGGCCGAAAATTAGAAGGATTCTTCCTTATGCAGGGGTATTACAATTAGTCCAGGAGCTGGCGTCGAAAATATGCAAGAGTTTTCGCAAGGCTCATATTTTCAGAATGAGTAGTATTTTAGTGCTACAAAGCTAGGCTACAGTCAGCAGTTCCAGTTCCGGGACACCTGGCGCTGAGATGCGCGCAAAGGTGTATTTTTAATCAACACCTCGCAACAGTTTTCGCAAAGCTGAAAATTGGCA